AAAAATAATTCATTTTATTGTTTTCCATCACAAGATAAATTATTTAAAAAAATGTTAGTTTAATACAATAATTACAGCTTAGTTATCAAACTGAACAAGAAAATGTCCTGAGTTAAAGTATACTTATATCACAGTCAATTAAAAGAATGACAAAATTATAATAGATAGAATCCAAAGTACCTTACAGAAAATGAAGCTTGTTTTACTCTCACAAATGGACGTGTGTAAAGATACACTAAGTTGACCTCTTTATTACACGTGGTTTGTTAACCCAATGTGGGCTGGACACACTTCATGTTATAATTAACTAGCAAACATTTCACTATCAAGGTATAACATGTACTTAAAACCATAAAAATATGTGGTATGTTAACCAAATTTTAGCTAGACATGTTTCATGTTGTAAACATTTCACTATCAAGGTGTAACATGCACTTAACATAATAAAAACATGTGGTATGTTAACCCAATGTGGGCTAGACATGTTTCATATGAAACATGTCTAGCCCACATTGGGTTAACATACCACATGTCTTTATTATGTTAAGTGCATGTTATACCTTGATTGAGAAGTTTTTGCTAGCTGATTATAACATGAAACATGTTTAGCCCACATTGGATTAACATACCACATGTTTTTATTATGTTAAGTGCATGTTACACCTTGATAGTGAAATGTTTACAACATGAAACATGTCTAGCCCACATTGGGTTAACATACTACAAGTCTTTATTATGTTAAGCGCATGTTACACCTTGATAGTGAAATGTTTACTAGCTGATTATAACGTTATAATCAGCTAGTAAACATTTCACTATCAAGGTGTAACATGCACTTAACACCACACAAAATTATAAAAACACAGTTAAGCTGCATAGGTGACAGAAGCACTGAAATAGATGAACAGATTATAAATTGGTAACAACATTTTATACATTTATTTCTGGAAGATTATTTGTTTTGAACTTGCACTTTTAGTGGTTCTACATTTTACGATCTGATACAGAGTGTTAGTTGCAATGTCATCTTCCAGAGATAAACATACAAAAGTTCTTGTCAATTTATAACCTCTTCCTTTATTATCACATTATATATTACCTGCTTCATCTTGATAGTAATACAGATCAACAAAATTTGACTGGAGGACAACAAATCCTTCTCCCATGTACCTTGGTGGTTCGTCTGATGGACCAGTGTATTTCAGACTGTCGGCTAAGATAACCTTGAAGTTTTCTGCCTTACACTTGATCATGTGGGTGAAATCGTCTAGTCTTGAAGATGCTGGTTTAGTTGTGTAAACAACACGTGCTTCTTCAAAATTAATGGATAACGTGGTTGGTAAAAGTCGATTCCCAAAAACTAGCCTACCCTGCATACAGTTAAAATAAGAAATTCTTTATTTGGAACATCATAAAATATGATTTTTTTTGTGTGCAAAAAAACAGCTTGATCTAATGTTAGCAAAAAAGAGATGCTTGACATATTTATTTTTAAGTCATAATAAAAAAACAAAAAACATATTTAGACAAATAGGAAATATGTTCAGTAGTACAAAAATGGCACGCACTACTGTTTTTCAGAACATCCAAAACTTGACACTTTATAATAATTTACAATATTTTAAGTATTCAAAAAAACTTATAATCAAACTCACAAAGCTCGTTTGTTTTGAATTTCGTGCAAAGCTACACGAGGGCTATCTGGACTAGCTGTCCCTAATTTAGCAGTGTAAGACTAGAGGGAAGGCAGCTAGTCATCACTACCCACCGCCAACTCATGGGCTACTCTTTTACCAATGAATAGTGGGATTGACCTTCACATTATAACGCCCCCATGGCTGAAAGGCGAATATGTTTAGTGGGAAGGGGATTCAAACCCGCAGATTGCGAGTCGAGGTCCCTAACTAACTGGCCATGCTGGGCCAACTCATAAAGCATCAGATAACACAGTAAAACTAAACTTAACATAAATTTTTTTCCACTTTTTAATGATATTTAGAACAGAAAATATAACTTTACCGTGGATATATCCAGCTTTATCACTGGAATTAGATCTCTCCATTTAGATCCTCTTCTCTGCTGTGCTAAGTCAATGCCACTTTCTGCTGATGCTTCAGTATTGCCATCCCCCATTCCCGAGTCCTGCCAGTATTGTTCTGACCCTGGAGGAAGGATTTCAGGCTCCAAGCCAAACTGCTGCTCGAGATGAGCGTAAAGGTGTGACCGGTTGTATATGTGCAACTCAAATCCATTCAACAGTATAGACAGACGAGTATCCGAGTGAGACAGATCTATTGGGTTGAAAACAGAGCTATTACCTGGTAACACCTTCATGTAGTGTGAAAGAACATATTCTATGGTTGAGAACAGAGCTGTCACATGGTAACACTTTCATGTAGTGTGCAAGAACATGTTCTATGATTGAAAACAGAGCTGTTACCTGGTAACACCTTCATGCAGTGTGCAAGAACATGTTCGATGGTTGAGAACAGAGCTTGTTCTTGCACACTGCATGAAGGTGTTACCAGGTAACAGCTCAGTTTTCAATCATAGAACATGTTCTTACACTCTACAGAAGGTGTTACCAGGTGACTTGTTCTATGATTGAAAACAGAGCTGTTACCTGGTAACACCTTCATGCAGTGTCCAAGAACATGTTCTATGGTTGAGAACAGAGCTGTCACATGGTAACACTTTCATGTAGTGTGCAAGAACATGTTCTATGATTGAAAACAGAGCTGTTACCTGGTAACACCTTCATGCAGTGTGCAAGAACATGTTCGATGGTTGAGAACAGAGCTGTCACCTGGTAACACCTTCTGTAGAGTGTAAGAACATGTTCTATGGTTGAGAACAGAGCTGTTACCTGGTAACACTTTCATGCAGTGTGCAAGAACATGTTCTATGATTGAAAACAGAGCTGTTACCTGGTAACACTTTCATGCAGTGTGCAAGAACATGTTCTACGATTGAAAACAGAGCTGTCACCTGGTAACACCTTCATGCAGTGTGCAAGAACATGTTCTATGATTGAAAACAGAGCTGTTACCTGGTAACACCTTCATGCAGTGTCCAAGAACATGTTCTATGGTTGAGAACAGAGCTGTCATCTGGTAACACCTTCATGTAGTGTGCAAGAACATGGTCTACGATTGAAAACAGAGCTGTTACCTGGTAATACCTTCTAGCAGTGTGCAAGAACATGTTCTATGAACTGCTTAAGTTCATAAATCAGCAAAGTGAATATTCAAAATTTCTAACAGTGAAAAGTATATTACATAAACTAAAAGCACAACTAAATTGTAGCATGATCCCATGCACCTGATAATAAAGGGTGACAGATATGTAAAAATTGATGAATTAGGAACAGAGAAAAACAAGTTCTTATCCTGTAAGAAACAGAAGTACTTCTGGTTTCAAACTATTCACTGGAACGAAACATTCCAATTATCTATCATCACATAGCTTACCAATCATTTTTGGATGTATAAATGTTCTTGATGATGTAAAAATAAAACAAACTGTTGTTTGTGGACCACACAGTTCTATAATTTACATTTAGTGAATTTCTATGTTAGATAATATTATATCCATACATTCTAAACATAAAATATTTGGTTGTTTCCGATAGCCTACTGTAAAAGATGAAAAATGGTTTACTTCCACACAAGTCATTAGAAGGTTAGTTGAAATTACAAAGATAAGGATACAGTGGGTTGGGTGTATTATATCAAAATTATTTTGAAAATGCAAATCAACAAGGCATATAACAGACACAGACAATTTGGGAACTGCAACAAGTCATATTCCAGTTGTGGTAAGTAAAGTATGGCTCCTTGTAACATGTAAGAATCCAAACCCTCAAATGTCAGTGGCAAAATCCATTTATATGCCATAGGAAACTGTACATAATCAAGAGGAATCTCCATTTTAAAATGAAGCCAACAGGGTATGGATTTACCCCAACAAGGCTTCAAGTCATACTCCCCATTCAACTGTCACATAACTCAAGCAGCTAGAGAATGAAACAAGCACTCATGCTATTCTATATAAAGACACACCAGTTAAGTCACTGGATGCAGAACTTAGGGATTTCTGTGTGATCATACTGTTTAAATAGGAGCTAGAAAATCAATGTCCTTGTACTCTAGATGAATTAAGGAGTAGTAGTATGCTTTTGACATGACACCCTTACACCAGAGCCTTATGCAATAGAAACTATGCTGCTGAGCTATTGCCAAGGTGCATGGTTGTCAGAGAGAGTATAATCAAACATGATGACATTGACTGTAATGACATGATGCTCCAAAACCTTTTCAATATAATGTACTCAACCTCTGTATACATTTAATACACAAACAAAATTATTTCTTAAACATTTTTCTTAAAGTGAAGTAAAAAAGGTTATGTTATTGTATAAGAAAATATCTCTGAATACAGGTTTTTTCTATAAATTGTACGAGTAACAGGCTTCATCTGTATTAATATTAAATAAAATATGAGCAAAAATGCAGAAAGTCTAGTTTTCTTCTGAATTACACAATGAATTTACAAATAAACATACATCATACATATCACCATATCCAGATAAATGTATTGTTTTCAACTAATTCTTGGCATCCTGTTCTCAGCATGCACACAGTTTGCAACATGAAAAATCACTAGTATATCATTTTCAATATGAAAATCATCTGTATATAATTTTCAACATGGAAATAAATAATATATTGCTTTCAATATAAAAATCACCAGTACATCATTTACAACATAAAAACCACAAATATTTAGTTGTCAACATATCTAAAAATTGTTCTGAGGTATCTTTTCAAAATTCTTTATATCATACATGTTGTGTTATATGTAAAATATGATTAATGAGGAAAAAAAGTTTAAGAGGGTTCATTATTTGTGAATGTTTTGGCTCACCTACTGTATGCTTTTTTCTCAGATGTGTGTTTTAACAGGAATACGATTATTATTCATGAAAGAGACAAACCACAGAAAAATTTTGTCTAACTATTTTAAAGGTTAGTTATTAAATGTATACCTCATTGTAAAAATTTTCTGTGAGATGAAATCTTAAAATTAGAATTTAATACAGTATGTAGAAAGTTAAATAAACTAACCATTGATCAGTAGTTCACTTGATTATTTCTTACAACAACGAACTTTAAATAAAAATTATTCATCAAGGATGATATAAAAGTATTTGTCAAACTATATGAATCGAATAAATATTTCTTCTTACCTATATCTACATTAATGAGTCTCACAGAAAATGACTAAATATAGAAACTAGGTCTAACAGGTTGTCCAATGAAGATGACAGATAATTTATTGTGTGAATCACTATCATCCGATGTGGATTCACACAAGTTGCAACATCATACATACCCTCCGTTATTTCTTTCTTTACATATGGTCTCCACCACCTGAAGATCATCCAGCCATCTTGTGCCCTAACAGTAAAGTCTTCATTCATGAAAGCAACATCGCGAAACATAATTTTTCCAGATAAAACGGAGATTGAGAAGGATCCTTTCAAAAACAAACAAGTTTACAATCTCATGATATACTCTGGTACTCTAAAAAATGTGCATAATTTAATAAATAATTAAGAGAAAGAACACAACATTCTACTTTTATTTTCACAAAAATATGCATATCCAACTAAAACTAACTTACTCCACAAGACTTAAGCTTTTACACCCAGCTTTGCTCTCATTTTCACCAAACTTTGGAAGCAGAGTTTTATTATCTGATTTAAAAAAACAGATGCACAAGTTCAACCTATTAAGAAATCTAGTTTAATGAAATTATTAATAAACTACTTGATTTACAAATGGTGTAATGTTTCATGACTTAGTTTCCATAAAATATGCCATCAAGGTCATTCTTAAAGTCTCCTCAAATAAGCCCTATACTTCATTTATATTTGTTGAGCCATGCCAGTAACCTGTTTAATATTGCTACAGGAATTAATGTATGTAAGCAATAACAGATACAGTTCAGATGAGTTTTGTATGAACTTTTTGGGTTGATGAACCTTGGAATGAAATTAACAGAACAGTGTGATCTGTTTTAATCCTTTACCTTTTCTACCATTACACTGTGTATAATCAGTGAACTCACCAACTTTAATATGCCACTTCTTCACAAATATATATGTACAAATCTTAAAATACCCCTTCTTTACAAATCTGTACTCACTGATCTTAACATACCCCTTTTTTTTACAAATCTGTACTCACTGATCTTAACATTATTGTCAGACCCCTTTACAAATCTGTACACAACAATTTTAACATTATTGTCAGACCCCTTTACAAATCTGTACACAACAATCTTAACATTATTGTCAGACCCCTTTACAAATCTGTACACAACAATCTTAACACACCCCTTCTTAACAGATCTGTACTTACCAATCTTAACATTATGTCATACCCCTTCTTTATGAATCTGTACTCACCAATCTTAACATTATTGTCAGACCCCTTTACAAATCTGTACACAACAATCTTAACACACCCCTTCTTAATAGATCTGTACTTACCAATCTTAACATTATGTCATACCCCTTCTTTATGAATCTGTACTCACCAATCTTAACGTATCCCTTCTTTACAAATCTGTTCAACATCTTAGTTATGATGAATCCAATCACTCTTGAGTTATAATAAGTTACATACACCACCCAGCTGATAGACGTGAAGAGAGCACACAGTAACCACACAAAGTCAGAGTCCATTGCCAGGTTCTCGAGTGGAGGAAACGTGCCATTCCATGGTGAAGGAGGAGCTTGACTTGTGATGCTGAGCTCCATTCTGCAAAAATAATTACTATTTAACTTAACAGCACCTATGAAATAAAGCACTGCTACGATATATATTTTGTCACAATGCACACAGAATATTCAGCTTCAGATGCTAACATAAAGTTACTATTATGTAGTACCATATTGTGATATTTTAACTCAAAAGTAGTGTACTGTAGTACCATACTGTGCTATTTGAACTCAAATGATACTGTTGTGTAGTACCATATTATTTTAACTCAAAGGTACTGTTGCGTAGTACCATAGTGTGTTATTTGAACTCAAATGATACTGCACTGTAGTACCATACTGTGTTATTTGAACTCAAACGATACTGTTGTGTAGTACGATACTATGTTATTGTATTATAAGGGGGACCAACACACAAAGTTAGATGATGTGATTCATGAATATGATAAACACTGATTTAGCTAGTAATTGTGTTATATGGGGGACTTAACAACTGTTATATGTTTGTTAGATATTTTTTGGTATTTCTTAAAGAACTTGCAAATTATCTATGTATCCCAAAACTATTAAGTTCCAAGTCTGTTGTACAAATGATAAGCATTAGATGTTATATTTAGACACCAAACTTACAATCTGATACATGATTGATATAAACAGTGATTAAACTAAAATATTATGCTAAAAATAATGTCAACAGCAAGATCCAAATGTTTTATAATCATCATAGTTTGTTTTATTGTTAATTGATTTTGATATTATGAACTTCTAGTAAGTTTGTTATTTACAGTTGGTTTCACTAATTCATAAGTTCCATTTTTGTGCCATCCTTTGCAGTTGGTTTACTTATGATATTAAATTAGCATGGAAAGGTGTTAATGACTATGGAATAAACTGTATAATAGAGAAAGTGTGAATAAAATGTTTTTATACAACTTTTGTTTCTGTACTGGATCAATATAAAACATACTGTGTTATAATAAGACATATTTCTAAATTACTTAACATTTTTTCCTAGCTAAACCATCGTAATAACCTAAATGTTTAGAGCAATGGGTTGGCTGGTTGGACCCAGTGAAAGTTTTCACGATAAAGGAGACTAAATGTTAGAGATGGGCTCCACCTAATCTGGATACGAAGTAGGATGTTTGGGGAAGCTGTAAACATATTTTAGATAATATTACAGATTTGTTTTCTTTTCACCAAAGGTAAAATTGAAAATATAATATGTGATGTACAGGTCTAATGCATTCTTTAATTGGCCATAACCTATGATGTTTTCTGCAGTTTCGCCTATTCAAGGCTCATCAGCTCAGTTTGGGTCAACAAACCAAAGATGTACAGTTAGGCCTTTTATAATGGTGGTGTATATACAATACGTGGTTTTTGAATTCTTTTTAACTCACCATACAATAACAAATTGACTTAGGTTACTATATGGTGAGTTAAAAAGGACTCAAAACTCATGAATATTCTAGACAGTTTAATCTAAACTTTCATAGTGATGAGGGAAAGCTTGCTAAACTAAGAATAAACAAATTCACATGACAGCATGCACAACAAGGAGATTGCAGATATAAGACTTGAAGCATAACAAGGTACATAACAATTCTAAAGATACATCTATCATATTTAACATGGTATATTCAATAATAAGCTTATTTGCTATTATTCTAATGTTAGGTATATTAAGAACAAAGAGATGAGTTCAGAGCTCTAGTTGAAGTCAAAGATTATGTAAAATGGAAATGACTGAAACTGGTTTAAGTTTGGTAGCATTTGTAATATAAATTATTTTGAAATTCCACATTAAGATAGCGACAGACTTTTATTGAGGGAGGGGGTATGTGGCTCTATACAAGGGATAAATTACAGCTTGTTAGGATTGAAGATATACAAAATGGTAGTCAATGGGTTAAATCAATGTGGCTTATAATTGGGGGTTTCAACAGTAAAATGTTTTTAATTGGCACTTGTTACAGGTCACATTATCAGACAGAAGAAGTCCATGAGATCAGACATCTTTCATTCATTTTTGGAAAGTAAACAGAAAGTGGGCAGGTTTCTGAGGATTATAGAATTGCTAATGTTACTTCTATTGTTAAGAGAGGTGATAACACTTGATTATTGATTAGTTATTCTTACTTCTATAGTGGAAAAATTTCTAGTCTAATGAAAGAAGCTTTATAAATCTACTAATCTGTTTTTTTTTAGGATGTTACTTGTCATTTGAACAATAGAAAGGCTATGGACTTGATTTACTTAAATTTTAAAAGAATTTTTTATAAAGTGCCACAAAAGATTAGCTAATAACAGAATATATACAGGGGGTTAGAGAAAGACTAGTTAATGTTCCTGTAAAGTGTTTGGATGGGAGAAGCAAAACGTTGTTACGAATGGAGCCCTTGCGATCAGTGGAATGTCTCAGGAGTCAGTGCTTGAGATTGTTTTTTTTCCTGTTTACAGTAAGTAATAACCATTGATACTTTGATGGAGGCATAATTAGTAAATTAGTAAAGTTTGCTAACAACATTCTATTATTGAGTATTTACAGCTATATTGAGGATGTTGGTGTATTATAGAATGACTCTGATTATGTGGTAAGTTAATAAATATCTTTCACATTACTTTTAATTACAGTAAGTGCTAGATAATGAATTTGGATTATAATTTGAATCACACATTTAATATATATGGGATTGAAGAAAAGGATCTGGGCAAAATGCTGGATAAGTCACTCAAACTATAGAAGCTGAGCTCTAGAGTACAGCCAATAGAATTTTAGGGTGCATTTATAGACATGCTGGGGGGGGGGGCAAAAGGTGCCGGGCATCCAACGCAAAGAGTCGAATCGAATAGTAGAACCCTTTCCGCCCTTCCCCAAGGTCTTAGGTACAAGGTCCCGGGCATCATAGCACCTCTGCACACTACTGCTTGCAATACTGTGCACTACTACTAGTAGTACTTTTAGTCTCCTTATAGATTAAAAAAAGATACTGACTAATTCAAGTGTCCACAAATGTGATACTACTACTACCAGTATGATGCCAGGGAAAAAGGGTTATCTTATTTAGAGGAATATGACCTTTTTGACTTTTTTCTCTCAAGAGAAAATAAAAAAGTAGAAGGTTATCTTATTTAGATGTAAACGATTATCCAGGAGACCAATAGGATAAAGACCTTTGATTTCTTTGTGCTATATTCTGAAGATAATACTAGTAATACTTCGACGAAAGGACAGAATTTAACTTTTAAGATTTGAAAATAAAGACGAAGCTCCACATAAGTGTAGCACTGTGGATGACTTGTGTGTTTCCGTCGCAATAGTGGAGACCAACACTTCATTGTACACTTTGACAAGAATTAGCTTAAGGCCAAAGGTCTCTTGTTGATATTATTGTTATAATTATAAATATAATTTATACTGTTACTACTATGTAATACTAAATTTAATACTACTAGTAGTGTTACTAATCAGTATATCACTATGTGAAATAAAAACAACGGCAGAAATGCAATACATTAAGAAATACAATTTACTTACAGCGATGATGTAGAATCCATGACTATATTATAAACTGTTGCAGTATTGAAGAAAATGATTCATTGATAAGTTCTATTGACTTGAAATAATACATTCGGTTTCATAAACATTATAATAACCTGTGGAAGTATCTTCCTCATCCACTGTAAAACTAATTTTATATTAGGACACCAGATGGGGAGCCTGGAAAAATAAAATGAAACTTAATTTTAAAAAAATGTCGTGTAGATACTGATGTACTTTTAAATTCTAAAACAAATTATTTTTATACTTGATATTTCTTATTTATCATTGCTTGAGGAATTTTGGGAAAACATATAACTGTACATTTGCTTTATCTATATACATGTAAAAACATTATTTCAACAGTTAATTAAATATTAGCATCAAATGGAAGGATTACGTTAAAGACAGCAAAACCACACCTGTAAGGAAAAAATCATCTTAATTATCTAAACAAGCCTTAATAATTACAACAAAAACATTGCATATATCAAAACTATCACCAGGGCACACGTTATAATGTGAGCTATAAGATGTGATATGGATGTTGGAAGTGACTGCGAAAGTAGGACCCACATAGCGGTGGGGATACACCGTCTACCAGTCTTAACCTCCGTTCGCCATGGTGGAAGTTTGGAGTTATACTAGTTCAGATAATTTGATTGAGTTTTATACTTTTGTACTAGGATAATCAGTCTACAGTACTTCCAATATTAACTTAATAATTTCATTTTTTGCTATTATAATAGGGTCAAAAATGCCAACGTCAGGAGGTAAGGCTCCCTTACTTAATCCTAATGCTAGAACTTTATTTATTTTCTTTTTCCTTTCAGTAAAGTTTCCAGATTGTAATCCCATTGTGAACTGTTGGGAAAAACTGAGCCAGAATATTGTTCACCATGACCCTAAAACAACTACTATAGCTCAGTTATAGCGCCTTCTAGTGACCAGTTGGGATGAAATCATGGTGTATTACATCAATAACCCCATCGTCAGCATGCCACATCACCTTGCAGAGGTTGTTAGAGTATGACGAGAACCAACTAAGTATTGAATGTTTAATATGAACTGATATGAGATTACAGACGCTACTTATAATGATTTGATGTTATATTTTGTCATTAAATATGTTTTGGTAAGATTTTGTTGTGATAGGTGGAATGCTGAATTACACATATTTCTACAGCTGTCTGATAAAATTGTTTGCTATTCTAATAAATCGTTCATGATGTCCACAGAACCTGTCTCATTATACAAATTAAATATGTAGATGTTTGATATAACATGCATTTCTCAGTTTAATAGTGCTAAGTGCATTTGTATTCCACCTTAATAATAATGTTCTTATTTGTTACAAAATATGCAAACATTTTGGCCAAGACCATAGAGTCTCAGTAACCTGCTGATGTATTTGTTGGACCTAACAGCTAAATGCGTAGAACAACCATCACTTACAATCACATAAATACAGGCCTTTCAAGTCCTATTAAGCAATCACCTTGCTGTCTTTCCTGAAGCACTAGGAAAATAGCCAGTGATGAGTACCTCAAATGTTAAAGGACAGAATCACACCACCATCTGAAAGTGCATGGTCATCTCTAGTGATAACAGCCAAGAAGAAGAATTGTAGCTATAGGTTCTGTGTTGATTTTTACTGGGTAAATGCCATGATGTGCAAACTGATACCTCCCTATTGCTGTGGACAGACGAATGTTTGACCACACTGGAAGATGTCCAATGGTTCAGTAATTTAGCTCTGGCTGTATGACGAGAGCAGAGCTAAAACTGTTTTAAGTACTTGAGATGGTTGTTTGAGTAATAACACATGCCCTTCGGATTGTTGAAAGTTCTGGCTACCTTTAAGAGGTTGATTGAGCTAACACTTAAATGTTTTTAATATGAAATATATCTGATATGGATGGATGATGTTTTGATGTTTGATTGAATGTTTGAGCCTGTCAATATGTTTCAAGTGATTTTACAGGTGACGAAACTCATCCCTTAAGGGCTCTGGGAAGAGCAACTGAGAGAACCCAAACATACATTAGGCAATCTTTGCCATGCAGCGATGGAGCACATTACCCAGTGCAGACTGAGGAGCTGGGACTGGGGGCATGCAGGTTGAAGCACATGTAATAGCAGTTACTGGTGCACAATGGTATATTTTACTATCTCCGACTTAAATGTTAAAGTTGACCTATACTGCAGCTCGTAATCCTCCACTCTCTGTGGGGTGAGGTTATCCAAACCCTTGATAAAGCAAGAATTGGAAGTCATTAGGGACACGACCAACACTTTTGCCAATGTTAGACAGTGATTCTACTGGCTGGGTTTGAATCATGTCATTAAAAGCTGGTTCCAGCACTGCACAGCATGTGCAGCACTACAGAAATTCTAGCCTCAACAAGGCAAACTCCAGCAACAAATTGTTGATTACCTTCTCCTGAAAATTTCTCCGGATATTGGCAGTCCCCTCCTGGAGTCCAGGAGAGGTAAGTAATATGTCCTTGTTATTATTGTTTACTTTACAAAGTAGGCAAAAGCATATATGTTGATTAACATGATAGAACAATGTGTCATTTATGTGTTTGCAGAACAATGGGTAATGAATTTGGGTGCAACTGGAGAGATTCACATAGATCAAGGAATGAATTTCTCCAAACCATTTGTTATCTCAGTTATGTAATTCGGTGTGTTGAATATTCATACTTCACAATAGCCACCTCCCCTAGTCAGATGGTTTGGCTGAACAGCTGATACAGATGATCAGGTAGATGCTTGCATAGCTTACGAACCCTGATAGAGCTGACTAGGATGAACACCTTCTGTACACTATGGTGGTATGTTGTGTAACTGAGAAAAGATCAACAGGCTTCTGGCCTAACATGCTCTTGTTTGATCATGAAACAGTGCTTCCTGTGGACATAATATATGGCCCACCTCCCACTCTCAAAGAACCACAATGTTTTCAGACATTTATGGAATGGCTAATAATTTCCATGGTGGACAAACACAAGTTTCAGCAACAGGAACTAGGTAAGACTGTCGTTTGCCAAAATTAATACTATCACAAGATTATCAGGCAGAGAATCTTCCAGAATGAGGAGTGGGTGTAGCAGTGGCACATTCCTACTGCTCAGCTATGGCTGGGCTAGTCTCCACCCAGTACTCAAACAAGTTGGCCTGCTGACTTATGAGATCCAACATTTCCAAGAAGTTTGTCAGGATCTAGAATACAAGGATAAGTTATGGTAAAATGTTATGGAAGATCCCCTAATACCTTAGCTAGCTCAGAGTCGGGAAAAACCAAATGATTCTGAAGAAGACCAGACTGTCAATGAATATATCAGCACAGCTGATGAGAAGGAGGAAAATACAAGTACTTATCTGGCCATTTTTGATTAGTTAGACGAGAAAAACCTGAAGATGTGATTGGTTCCAATGGTCATCCAAGCCATTGACAACAATCTACTCGTCAGTATAGCTGGGATTGAAATAAGCTGCGACCATTTAACATGTAGTTGAGATATTGCTGACTGAAAAGGTGCTGTGACCCTTGCTTTCTGGGTTATCAGGTGGTGTCATCCAGCAGAATTTACAGCTTAAATTTCGAAACTGCTATTCAATGAGGCCATAAAGAATGGTAATTTAGTTAAGAAACCAATGGCTGAAAGGAATTTGGCGCCCATGCTTTACAAGCATCCATGTGTTTTTATGACCAAAAATTGCCACCCTTATGGGATATCAGCAGTTTCTCCAAACCTGATGCGGGTTTCCCTGTATGTTACCGTTATTGGAGTAATGAAAGTTTTCTGAGCCTGTTGTGGGGTTTCTCCTGTATCCCCTTATTGGAGTATTGTAGGTTCTTCTAAACATGCTATGGAGTTCCTTTTGTAACCCTTATTGGTATAGTATAGGTTCTTCTGAGCAGGATCTGAAATTTCTTCTGTACATCCTTAAATGAATAATGGCAGTTCTTCTTGACCTGCTGCACACCCTTATTGGAGCAGTAGGGGTTCTTTTGAAACTTTTGTGGAGTTTCTTCTGTGTAAACCCTTATTGGAGTAGTGGCAGTTTGTTTGTACCTGCTGTGAGATTTCTCTTGTACACCTTTATTGGAATAGTGGAAGTTCATTTGAATCTGCTGTGAGATTTCTCCTATAAGCCTTTACTGGAGTAATAGCAGTTCTTCTGAACCTGCTGTGAGGTTTCTCCTATACGCCTTTACTGGAGTAATAGCAGTTCTTCTGAACCTGCTGTGAGGTTTCTCTTGTACACGATTGTCAGAATAGTATTATTTCTACTGAATTTACTGCAAGGTTTCCTCTGTAACAGCTAGGATAGTCATTGGTCATGCCACCAATGACTGAAAGAGCTTAACAAGCATTCCTTTTTGAGTCTCTTTGTGCGAATGGAAAGTATTGTGTATTGCATTACCTTGAATGATTACCACTCACGTAATAGTTATTGCAGCTGTTTGGTGGGGATTCCAATGACTAAAAGAGGTGTTGTGCCTCTCTACTCTTTCTGCTGCCCAAGCGAATTGCTGAAAAAAGATCGTCGCCGTAGAGAAAGTGTTTTTGCAAGTCAGTAAAATCTGATAAGTCTCACCACTCACAGATGGCAGCACGCTACTGAACTGTAACTGTCAGAAGACAACTATTGAAGTAGCCCAAGTATTTGCTATGGTAATTGCATACTTAGCTGAGGTGATCTGTTAGAAGCTACTAGTGTATGTTACTATGTGCGTAAATTGCATATGTGAAAATATGCATTCGTGATTGCGTGTGTATGTGTGAATTGTGAGGTTTACACAAAGTAATTGATCTGAATTGTCTACAAAGTAGATTAAAACATGGAGAACATAATTAGAGAGCAACCCATGTTTAAGAATATGAGAATGTGATCAGTGTATTAAGCTTTTTAAGAACTTAGCTTTAAATACTAGCTTGATGAATATTAATCAAACAAACAGCAAGACTGCTGGTTACATTCTTGAATAAATATAACGTCTCAGTTTTGCATTGAAATGTTCTACATGTTTTGCAGTGTGTTTTGTAAGTGTTGGCGGGTTGTATTTCAGTATGTTTGAGCGTGACGAATGTTAATTTGGGATAACCCAATGTT